TGGCCGATGGGTGGCTCAGCGGATCGATGAAGACAGCAGACACGGGCAGGGGAGTCGTCGATGTATCTTTCTACCTTGTAGTGAAAGATTCATTCAATTTTGCTCACCTCGGTAATAAAAGAGGTGTGAAGCGGGCTGACGGGTTGGAGTCTTACTCGTTGGCTGGCACGTATTATCAGAGGAGAGACCAACGAGGATTTCATTAGCAGAGAGGACGAACCGTGCACAGTCGATTGGGTGGACGAATACGGTTGGCTGCATGGTACATTGTGCCTCACCAACCGAACTGGCTGCGGAGGCAGGACTGGCGCTGCAGGATGAGCCGAAAGTCAGGCTATATGAGCCTGCCTCTCAGTGTGAGCATAAGCTGAGGAGGGTTCATACGTGAACTTTCTTGTGCTAAGACTGAGCGATTGACAATTATTTTCGCTCTATATGTGCTCCGATGGCTGCTCAGGGGCGTATCGTTTCCTGAATGCCCCTTCCGTTCCTTCACACTGAGTGGCGGCTCTGATATGTCCATGATCTTTGACTGAGGCGAAGCAACTGCAAGGTCAGCCGCAAGGTGTAGATTAGGCAGAGTGATCGGTGCGTTGCTCATTGCCTGTCGGCTGATGAAGCGTGAGACCGGCCCGGGGTTGGAGATTTACATGTTGACCATTGTGCATTGCTGCCTACAGCTGTTGGCCACTGTGTACTGCTGCCTGCAGCTGCTGGCCACTACGTACTGCTGCTTACTGCTGCTAGCCACTGCGCATGGCTGCCTACAGCTGCTGGCCACTGCGTATTACTGCATACTGCGGCTGCGACTGTTGACTGTGTGCGGACTGCCGCTGCCAGCTATTGGTTGCTGCACACTGCTGCACACTGCCGCCGGCTATTGCCAGCTACTACGGCCTGTTACACAGCCGCGATTGGGCTAAGGAGAGGCGCTGAGATTTGGAGAAGGGAGTGGGCTTGAGAAGGAGGAGGTTATTGCTGCCAATTAAGAAGTCGGCAGAGGGCTGACGTTGACAGTTTGACTTCAGAAGTTGACCAAGCTGCTACTGTTTGGCCATCATTGCGGGGCCCTCTGGCGAGTGAAGATATCCAGGCCCTCTCCTGGGAGTTGAGTTTGTCCCCTCCTTGTATCTCGAGAGTCTCAAACCCCTCCTTCTCTAAGTCTAGTCATGTTATGAGAGGAAGGCGGCAGGCGGGATTGCAACCCGTAGGACCACAACAAGACTCTGTGGGGAATCTGCCCATCGATTGCGGGAGCTCTGCCGGAACTCAGAAGGAGTTCTGGAGGCAGGGAACTGTAAGGTAACTCTCCATCCCCCTCTATAAACCCAGACTATAACCCCTATCTATACTACCCATTGCATAATTTGACTGAGTATATGGTGTGCAACCCTACTTTGACTTGTTGTTTGACTTTCAGGACATGAATCAGATGAAGTAAAGGAACGTATGCAAATCTCAGTTTCGGCCTTATTAATTGACTGAAAGCAGATTGGAAAGAGAAATTGCATCTAGAAAAGGGTAGGATGGAAAGCAGTTTTTGCGTGAGGTTTGACTGGGTTATCAAGGCTGGGAGGTCCCCATAAGTTTTGGGAGACCCAGTGCTTTGTAGATTTTGGATTGTGTGTAGTGTCAGACCATTCTGTAAGTTTAGGTGGTCTGATTGCTCTGGAGGCTGGGAAGTCCCCATAAGTTTGGGGAGACCTAGTGCTGTGGATTTGCATTGAGAATCAGATCATTCTATAAGTTTAGGTGATCTGGTTGCTCTGACTTGCGAGGGCTAATTGTGCTTGACTTTTTCAGGGGCCAAGTGCATTCTGTAAGTTCAGGTGCCTTGGTTGCCTTGTTTATTTTGGGGTTTTCTTTGTTTGTTTGGTTCTGAACGAGGAGGTTTGAATCATTCTATAAGTTAAGGTGGCTCAACCTCTTCCTGCTTTATTATAGGAGAAATGAACTAGACAGAGGGCAAACCATTATATAAGTTTAGGTGGTCTAGCCCAATGCCACGCACAGATTGCATCAGAGAGGAACGAACCAGGCAGAGAGTCAGACTGTTTTATAAGTTCAGGTGGTCTGACTCAAAGCCTCACACATGCTGGAACCCAAAGGTTATAATTTAGCTATATTCTATTACTATTTTATTTAAGAACAGACTAGTCAGACTATTCTATAAGTTTAAGTAGTCTGACTATAGCTTATCACAATGTTGAAGAGAGTGTAATTAAGAATATAATTGATGGTAAGATGGGGTACGCTGAACTTAAGTTAGTTCAGTCCTATGCAGCCTCGGAAAACAAACGGAAGACAGATATATATAATCTGGATATTTTAAAACAGTTCAGGGGGAGTAGAATGGTCTAGTCATATGCCCAAAGAAGAGAAAAGTAGTTATGCCCTCTGTTCTGTGTATACTCGTTGGCTAAGTTAAGTTTGGGTGTCCTGACCTTATGCCTTATGTAAGCTGGGTATAAGGGGTTAAATCATTGAAAGATCATGGATTATTGTTTGTTCAGATAAACTTGGGATGGTGAGAGTACTTACCTTTGTGGTTTGGCTTGCATGTGGCTGAGTGAGATGACTATCTGGTCTGAGTTTCAGTTTGATAGGTAGTTGCTTTAGTTGCTCGCCACGTGCTAGAGCGATAGGAGTTAGTTTCAATTCCTGCATTTTCAGAGCTAAGTTTATTTTTACTTAGGTCAATTTCTGCATTTTCTGGGATCTTTTTATACTTGGTCTTGTATAAATCTTGGTTAGTCACTTCCCCTACGGGAAGCGCTGCCGAAATTTTTACAAAACCAAGGAGTTAGTCAAACTTTGTCTTTTTCAGGGTCCAATTCTTTTTTACTTTTAAACTTAGTAAAAATCTGGAAAACCTCCTTGTCTAAAGGGAGTGCTGCCCAAATTTTTGCTAATTCAGGGAGTTAGACAAAATTAGACCTTGAAAAGTCAAAGTCATTTCAGATTCTGAACTTAGCTTTGTATAGATCTTGGAATAACACTTTCTCTACGGGAAGCGTTGCCAAAATTTCTACAAAACGAAGGAATTAGTTAAAATTTCTCTTGGTTGAACTCAGATTTTATGTTTGAGTTCATGTATGTCTTAGTATAAATTTGGGAAGTCTCCCTTTCTAGAGGAAGTGCTGCCCAAATTTTTGCTAATTCAGGGAGTTGATAACTTTTTGACTTTCTAGAAATAAAAGTTTGATTTTTGAGCTACTATAAATTATGCGAGGGCACTCTTCCTACGGGAAGCGCTGCCGAATTTTTCTTAGTTTAGAGGAGTTATATTGTATTTTGACAGGTGACAATTATGGAAAATCCGCTCTGTATAGAGGAGATTCTGTCAGGGTCTACCTTTCTTTCGGTATTTGCTTAGAGGTAGGGTTGAGCTTAGTTGTTGTTTTTTTTTTTTTTTTTTTTTTTTTTTTTTTTAAGGCTTGAGCTTAGTTAATTAGGACGATTTAAGTAAGATCGTGATGTGGGGGTTATCCTCCATGAACTTATAGATTTAGCCTGGGGATTGGCGTGTCATGTGTTACAGGTCCTCTTGATCGATTGATTCAAGATCCGAGCTAGATTCGGCTTGATCCTACAAGGATCTCCTTCTGTTATCACGGATAACAGGTCGGTTGCCGATTCGTTGGTTTACGACTCAACTCCAATCCACCTTCAAAACCCAACCTAAAAGGCTTTAGCCCTGGTGATTTTATTTTTTTGTTAAGGTTTACCCAGACTTTTATTAAATGGTCATTAAAGGTACTGAGTATTTAATTGTGATTGGTTGGCTGGAGGTTGGGGTTTGCATGGCTAAAAGCGAGGGGTATGAGTATAGAGATTGGTTGGAGTTGACTCCGTGTAGTGCATGGATTTTTGTTTGACTCTTTGATGTGATTGCAGGTATGTTCTGTGTTTCGGATTTTGGATTGGACTGCCTGCGATCTCACATATATATATGACTGTGAGGAGTCCTACTGTGATTGTGAGAAGTGATCATCACATGCTTATTCCCCTTGTATATATATATATATATATATATATGTGTGTACCTATGTTGGATGTTCGCTCGGTCTGAGGGGCCCACGTACTAAGGACTTAATTAGGTGTCGCGATTGGGAAAAGAGTGAAAGACCCCTCTATCTTGTTTGTACGCTTCTTGAAGAATTCTTGGTCGGACGTTGGTCCTGGGCCGGGATTCAGGGTCCTTGTGCAGGACATCCCAAGCCCTAGACTTTGCATGAAAGGGATTACCCCTCGGGCAGAGCCTATTTGCTTTGCCTGTCGAGACACTCAGGCCAAACGTCGGAGGTCTCACGGCGGCTGCACGACTATTCCTTCAGCCGTGCAATATCGTGAGGGAACAGACTCTCACGACATTTCGAGTCTAACACATGAGTGTCATAAGTGGTACTCGGATCCACGAGGGGCCGCTTGATTATGGGCACTACATAGTACGCCATCGTTGCAACTGCGTGCGTACGCTTGCATTGCGAGTCGATATGAGTAGGCTCTGCGTCCGTGCGGTTTTATACTAAGTCTTGCGCGCAACGCCTATCTGATTTCTGCATCGGAAAGTTATGGGATGGCTACTAAGGGACTAGGAGTGTTGTCGCGTTGTTTGTTCGGTGTCGTTTTGTATAATTATATGTACGTACGTGTGTGTGTGTATTTTATTTTTATATTTTTTATAGTGGTGTGCGCGTGGCGTGTGGGATGCGTCCTAGTCGATCGACGACGAGTCGCGCTTGGGACCTCAGCCCCCCCAAGATGTCGGTTCACGTGCGGGTCCGATAGAGGTGTATTACCGCGCGTACCCCCTATGCTACAACGAACGAGAAACGCCATTGGCTGGTCCACCTCTGCGATTGCAGTTGATCAACTTTCGTACTGTGGACTGGTAGCTCGGCGGGGATACGCCCACCGAAAGGAGGTGACAACTCCCGTAAGGTGGAGATAAGTCGTGCCTTGCGTAGGACCTCTGTGAAGGAGTGAAGGAGTGGAGGGCTAGCATCCCCAAGGTCTTTCTCTATGATTCCGACCCAGAATCCATGCCAGGACGACCCGGGGTGACCACCATGGGATCAGGCCCACGGTCGGGGATGATGACCAGACCTCCTACGCCGCAGGGAAGACTGGCGCAGGCTGCTCGTACCCGAGGTCAGGCTAAAGCCGGTGCCAGCCAAGAGCCTCCTCGGAAAGAACCTGAACCAAAGAAGAGAAAGGAAGTCGTAGAAGTGGAAGATGATGATGAAGAAGAAGAAGAGGATGAGAGACTGTGCCAAGAAGAGGACCAGAGAGCGGAGCAAAGGGCCAGGAAGAAAGAAGTTAGGGAGGAGGTCGAACCCATCATGCGTGATGTACCGCCCAAGAAGAAGAAGTATGTGGTCCGGCTGGAAGAAGGGTTCGACGTAGACAAGATGATTGATAGGTTGTTGGAGGGTCACAATGACCTTATGACCCTGAAGAAGATCTTGGCATCGACCCCTAAGCTCCGTGATGGACTGAAAGGGAGGTTGTCACGGCGCTTGGTGCTCAGCGTCCATCTAAGTATGATCCTTCCCAAGGAAACGGAGTGGGCAGAGACAGGGACAAAGATGGACTGGAAGTGCGTAGCCCGTGGAACAGTGGATCTTGTGGTAAAAGGTTCAAAGTGCTCAACCATGGTAGATATGAGAGCCGAAATGAACATTATCCGAGAAGCGGACGCGGTCAGGTTCGGATTGGAGATAGACCGCTCGGATTGTGGTGTCCTGCATGGAGCCAACTGTAAAGCGGTGTTTTGCGGGACTGCCTCGAATGTACTTATCGAGGTTGAAAGAGTAAAGGCCATGGCATGCTTCTTCGTTATGCCTGACGTGGATCACGGGATTCTCTTAGGAAGGTCTTTCTTATGCAGGACGGAGACATTGATGTTTAACAAACACGATGAGACTCTAATCCTTATCTTGTGTGACCCTGCCTGTGAGAATTATGAAGTAATTACCTGAAGGAATACAGGGCCTCGAAGCATAAGGAACCAACCCAATCTGGGCTCATTCACGATTGAGGAGTCGGAGGGCGAACGCCGAAGACTCCTTAAGGAACCAGAAGAGGAGGAAAGGGTCAAGGCGTTTTTCCTCAGCTTGTCAGATGTGAGTAAGGCCATGGACATAGTGGCAACGCACGAGATGGCGGATCCAGACGTCATCCAGGCACTGAGGGAGCAAGTCCTGGAATGCCCCCAGGCTGGGGAGTTGGAATTGGTATATCGACTTCCAGGGGGAAGGAGGAACCCGACGTCAATGCAAGCTCAAGTTGTAAGCCGACCTTTTTTAGGGGACGGCTCAAGCAGGGTTCCCAAAGGCGGTACAAGACGATAGACAAAAAGTGCCGCCCATTTCCCGTCCTCGTTACCGAAGATAAGGAAGTATATTGTGAACGAGAGCGAGGGTTGATACGGCGGATGAAGGAGAGAGCCTCAACTGGGCCGTGTCGTATCAACGAAGGGAACGAAGGGAAGTTGATAATAGGAGAGCCTGACTTCCTACTGCCTCATAAAAGAGCGTTAATGATAGAACTAATGAAGAAGAGGCATTGCGCCTATGCGATGAGGAGCGCGGCAGGTTGGATGTGGACAAGATTCTTATGATCCGCATCCACACCATGCTGCATGAGCCATGGAACTTGAGCGGGGCGCGATATCCTAATCCTGATGAAGAGAAGAAGGTGGTTGATTACCTCGACGACAAGATACGTATCCATGTCGTCGATTACTCATGTGGGCCGTACGCATCCCCATGGTTTTGTTTCATCAAACCCAATGGGACGCTGCGATGGGTGCAAGATCTGCAGCGGCTGAATGCGGTGATTGTGCGAGATGCGGGAGGATTGCCAAATGCGGATGCGCTGTCAGAATCCTGTATTGGAAGGCCTATAATTTCACTTATAGACCTTTACTCCGGATATGACCAATTTTCGATCTACCCGCGAGACAGGCTCCGCAAGGGTGGACCAACACAATAGCGATGGTTCAGCGGACCATGATTCGAGCTATGCAATCAGTCAGCCCGCACATCACACAACCCTATATCGATGACTTGGCGGTGAAGGGGCCAATGGTAAAGGAGAATGACGAAGTCCTGCCAGGAGTGAGGTACGTTGTCTGGAGACATATTCAAGACCTTGAGAAAGTCTTGAACCTGCTTGAAGAGCATAATCTCAACTGCGAGTGGGGCCAAATCCAGACACTGCATGAGGGAAACTACTATCTTAGGGTTCGTCTGTAGTGAGAAGGGTCGTCGGCCGGGCGTAAAGAAGACAGACAAAATTATTTAGTGGCGAGTATCATTCCGCTCAATAACTGATGTTAGAAGCTTCCTCGGCACATGTGGATTTTGAAGGGCATTCGTCAAACATTTCGCTGCCAAGACCGAGCACCTGAGAAAATTGGTTCGTCAGGACCAGGAGTGGGTCTGGGGTGAAGAGCAGGAGAGAGTGGTGGCATAAATGAAGGAAGAGTTCAGAGAAGGAGGGTTAGTATTGGGAGCGTCGGACTATGATGACACAGAGACACGGCCATTCATTGTTGAAACGGATACTGGGTCGACTGCCTTAGGTGAAGTTTTGATCCAAGCAGATACAGAAGGGAAAGAGAGACCGCTGCGATTGGAGAGTCAAACTCTCTGTACACTGAGAGAAATTACTCTCAGTTCAAGAGAGAGACTCTCGCCGTCCTCCACTGTCTGCGCATCTTTCGAAACTATATCTTTGGCAGGAGGTTCATATTGAGAGTGGACTCGACTCCTCAGGCCTATTCCCTAAGGAATTACGTTCCATCGGATCCGACTGTTGTCAGATGGTTGACGTACATCTGGATGTTTAATTTCGAGTTGGAGCGGATTCCTGGGAATAAGAACAGGGTGGACGACCTGAGCCTTATCAACTGGGACAAGCAAGAGGGGGAGGCGGTAGAGAACACACCCCCAGTTGATGGCTTCCTGAATCAGAAAGAGGACATCTGTCTTCACATCAATGAGTGGTCCCCGCGAGTGCCTAGCTGCGTTGACCATCCTATCTGGCGTGCGCGAAGTGGGTATGAACGGAAGGTAGAGCTGGTACTCAAGTCTTTAAAAGAGGAAGATCCATGGGGTGACAAAGATGTCCAATGGATGATGAAGTTGCCGCTGGCCGCAGGCACGCATAGTCTGATAGAGGAAGTGAGAACGATAGAGGAAGGACCAGATCAGGTAGAAAGGCACGAGGAGTTAATGGGAGGGATGTATCTCCTCATCAATACGCTTCTGCAATGAGACTTTGATCAGATAGGCTCGGTGAACCCGACTGAGAATGAGGATGTGGTGCCAGAGAGCCAGGATGATGAGTTTGAGGAAGGGGAAATCAAAGAGGCATTCCATGCATAGGAGTATGATGAAAGCTACCTGAAACTGAGACTTCTCCTATCGTACGAAATGTGGAATAGAGATGCGAGCGATAGGGCCCAAAGAATGATGCAACGCTATTTGGTAAGGGATGATCATCTTTTCGTAAAGAGGACGGTGGGAAATCCTAGGAGGGTTGTATGCGGCAGAAATTGTCAGATTGACGTTCTAGCAACACTTCATGATGGCATTGCGGGAGGACATCGAGGAGTTAGTGCCACATACGCCAAGATAAGTGAGCTATATTATTGGGATGGGATGATGGAGATGGTTAGTAAGTTCTGTCCGTCCTACGTACCCTGCCAAGAGCTATCTCGTCTGAGGCCAGGAGAGTCGTTGCATCCGAGACTGGAAAAGGAAGTAGGGGCCGTAGTACATCTCGACTTGCTTTTCATGCCACTTGGGGATCATGGCTACAACTACATCTTCGATGCGCGTGATAACCTGTCTGGATTTGTGGAAGGGCGGGTTATTCATACAAAGACTGGGCAGGTCTTGGTTAGCTGCATCGAGGAGTACTACCTGCGCTATCCCTTTGTCAGAGAGTTCGTAATGGATAGAGGGTCGGAGTTTACCTGCCAGAAAGTACAAGAATTGTTATCAAGGTACGATGTGGTAGCTAATTACACCACGGCCGCCCACCCCCGGGCAAACGCTCCAGTGGAGAGAGGACACAACACCATTACAAACCTTTTAGCTGAGTGGACTGAGGGTAGGCCTAATCAATGGCCAAGGTACCTGAGGGCGACATTCTTTGTCGAGAATATTACGGTGAAGAGGACCACTAAATATGCACCGGCCACACTATGGTATGGGAGACACGCTACCTTCCCCATCGAGAGTTTCTTAAAGACTTGGAGGCGTCAGGATCTGGAGGTCAATCTGTCTTTTGAGGAATTGCTCGATATTCGAGCGCGGCAGGTGGGCGCGATAGAGGAGAGAATTCAGGAGGCGTTCAACCAAGTGGAGAAGAGCCGTATGGAGGATAAGGCTCGTTGGGACCCGTCGGCGCGAGTGAGGAAAGTACCCTTGGCAGTTGGGGGCGTTGTACTCCTGTATGATTCATCCTTGGAGAAGCAGTGGTCCACAAAACTCGACAAGAGGTGGTTAGGTCCCTATCGGATTGTGCGATGCGGAGATTTCGGCGTATACCAGATTGAAGAGCTAAATGGGACAGAGTGAAAGGATTGGGTGTCGGGAGCAAGACTGAAGAAGTTTGTGGCAAGGGAAGAGGTAAGATAAATGATCTGGCTTCTTTAGAGTAGGGATGATAGGATGTGTAGATTAGATAGGATGCATGTTGTATGTGTTTGGTTTGACCTAAGTTAGCTTTAGTTACCACCTGTTTGCTTACCCCAATGTATGTCTGTTGTCTCCTTCACCTGTTGTGAAGGTCTGACTTTACGAAGATAGCCATGCCAAGAGGAGGGAGGGGGACACGGCCGTCACGAAGGCCGTTGGGAGCATCAAGAGGGTACGAGCGGCATGGGTCTCACCACCGAGAGAGTACGCCGGTGTACGACAATGGGGATATTGAGTTGTTCCTGGACAAGTTCTGGGGGTATGCAGATCATATGGGCTGGACTATGACCCAGGAGATGGAGAGGCTGAGAGGGGCCAACAGGTTCGCGAAGCCCATTGCACAAATTCGTAGGGAGGCAACGACGAGGCCAAAGGTGGAGACAAGGATGCAGGAGCTACGACCATCACCTGTGGGACCTGACGGCAGACCGATCCGCCTGGAAATTGAGAATGCAGAGGAGTTCATTCCCGCCTTCGAGCAGTTCATGCATGGTCAGGGTATATTGAGGGATGAATGGGCGAGAACATTGCCCCTATGGACGAGGAAGGCGGAAAGACCCTTGACCAGGCAAATGAGGGACATGGCTCGGGATTGGGAGAGCTGCAGGACGCACTTGAGAGAGGCATTCCGGCGGCCAGAGCCACCTCAGCCCAGAGTCGAGAGACGCGAGAGGAGCACGAGGCAGAGGGACCCTGAACCCAGCGAGGCCAGGCCATCTCGAGGGGGACGGAAGGCACTCGCCAGGCGAGAGGAGGAGTCAGTGCCTGCGACAAAGGGGCGAGGGGCATATCCTGAGTGCGGGTTGGGACCGGTGGGGTTCCATCGCTTTACTGAGGGTGGACTGGGAGGATCTCCACAACGCACACGAGAGGAGATGCCAACCTCTGGAGAGCCTCTGTAAGAATTGGAGGCGCATCTGGGTGTCTCGCAGTGGAGAGTACCGCCGATGAGCGGGGGACGTGACGAGCCGACAAAGGAGGTACCACTAGAGGAGGTGATAGAGGTTGAGGAGGATACTCCCCCTCAGACGCCGGTTGTGGGGCTGAGACTTGGGAACACACTAAAGAGCGCACCCAGCAGAGAGGAGGGGCCATAACGAGAGGAGATCCCACTACCGCCGCCAGAGATGGTCCCTTCACCAAGAGGAAGGGTAGAGGGGGAGAGAGAGAGAGCTTACTGGAGGAAAGAGGCCCTTGCCATGATTGACAGGCATCAGGCGGCCCACGCCTTGGAGCACCCTGACCTGGAGGAACCCGTACATGTGGAGCCACCCCAGGAGCCGTATCAGGCCGAGAAAGAGATGGGAGCGGAGATCCCGGAGAGAGTCGACTGCCGCGCGAGAGAGAGAGTGTCAGCGGGGAAGACGGCTCAGGAAAAGAGGGCCAGAGTAGGGAAGCGCTTGGAAGAAATCTGGCAAGAGAGACAGAGGTTGGAAGAGGCAGCAGCACTCCCGGGTCAACCACCACCGCATAAGCCATATGGACTCAAAGAGATGTGGGATGAGTTCCTTGATAAGCATGGCAAGGAACTGACGGCACCAGAAAAGGCAGAAGTTGGGACCTCGAGGAAAGCAGATGAGTACTTGGACCAAAAGATCCGCTTCCTATTCAAGACACCGTTCGACAGATATATGATGTTGGAAGCTGATCTGAGAGGGAAAAGGATGAAGGAGATAAGTCATGGAGTGCGTTTGGAAGCCGTCGAGGTTGAGGTCCACGAGCTCAGAGCATTGGTGGCTAGTCAGGCTGCCATCATTCAAGACTTGAGACAAGAACTTTGAGGTGGGACTGGTAGGGTTGACAGAGAGGGGCCAGCAGAGGCAATGAACAGGGCAGAGAGCAGCAGGCAAGGAGAGCAGTGACAGAAAGGATATGGCATATCAGGACAACCATCCGTTGCTGAGCTTCAACATGGGTCGTCAATGGGAAGAGTCATTTTGAACCCTGAGGAGGCGAAAGCCAAGAGGGAAGCGGAGAGAGAAGCCTTCGAGTTCAGAGCCCCTACTGAACTCGCCACACTGACTATAGTGATAGTAGGCCCCACCATGCCACCATCAGTTGAGGAGGGGTGGCTGACGGCCAGCAGTGAGTCAATCCAAGGCTCAACAGAGGGGTCTATGGATGTGCTTCTCGAGACAATTCACTCTATGCAGGAGGAGGCGAGTTTATTTTCGTCTGAGCAGAGGATAGAGGAGCCTCTTGAGAGAGAGATGGGAATTGAGATAGAGGGCGTTATTGAGGGCAGACCATCGTCACCAGAGTCTCAGGGGGAGAACAAGAAGTCCAAGAAATGGTTTGACGCATCCTGTTTCTTGAAGGACCTGGCTGAAGGGAAAGTTACAAGGAGTGGCGGAAAGATGTATGATAGGCAGGGTAGGGTGGTAGAGCGATCTGTCGATGGAGGTAGGGCTCAACTGTACAGGCAAAACCAGGAGGAGATGAGTGAGTAGGGACTGGGTTGCCTACAGGCCAGTAGAGTTGGAGTTCTTCGCACATACAGATTGAGTTAGAGATGTACATTTTTGGAGTCAGTCATGTGTAATCTATCTAGTTGTACATATGTAGCACATAGTTTTTAGCAGATTTTTGAGATTCTTTTGTTGTAACTTAGAAGATAAGATTCAGTTGTATGACATATTTTGAGTGTGCAGTTACGCGTGATTTGTGAGGATAGATTTCATCTGTATTTTTAGTGTGATATGAGATTTTATATACTTGGGACATGAGTGTTACTTGGTTGAGTAGAGTGGCGGGGCATTCATTTCCTGAGTATACATTGAGTATACACCCTATGAGGCTTATCGTTGTGTCGATCACTTTCACTCTCACTTTGTGGCCTTATCCTGATGTATGATGACTTTGTGTGAGAAATGTGCAGGATGCATCTCATGTTCTATGGATGTGAACCATGTAAAACTGTTTACTCTTCAGTATACTCGTGCGACCTGCTTACGAGCAGATGTTTGGCCCGGGTATAAGGAGAGGGAGTGCAGTCTGTTCCTGTGAAAGAGTGTGTGAATCCTAAGGGATTTATGAGTCTCTAAGACTCAAATGCTTCACCATGCCAAAATGTTTTATTGTCGAGTTGTGGCAAGGACCCACAAGATGGTCCCTTAGTGTTGAGTTGTTTTATGGATAAGACACCTTCAGTATGGAAGGGTGTTGATATTTGTTTGTTGGAGGGCTCATCTCCAGATGAGAGATGTGTTAAAAAGGTCGTGTGGAGATGACTAGGAGACCTAATGTGAGAGGCACCTTTGATGACTAAAGGTGGGTAATAGATTCAATGGCATGATAGGCTGGTTTGAATGATAAAGCCTGACGAGAAGGACCATGTTTTTCGCATGGTCATTGTTGGAAATTTTAAGAAAGTCGCAAAAAGCTTCATTGAGAGATGTCGTTGAGAGGTGTCTTTCTTGCTTTGATCAAGTAAGGAGGTCACGGTGTCGGGACTGGTGGGTCCCGAATAACATCCCGTCACTCGAGAGACTGTATATGGCAAATTTGTCCACAACAGAGAAAACTGGAGGCAAGAAGGACGAGAAGTGTTCAAGCACTGGTATCAGGGGGCATAGAGGTTGTCTGGGGTGTCGGGGCCACGAGACCATGAAAGGAGTAGCGGAAGGGCAAGCGGCAAGGGACCGCAAGAAAATAGTCAAGGCGGTCGCTCCTCTGGAAAAGGAGAGGGACCGCCGAGAAAAGTAAATGTCATGGGATGCGCGCCGCAAGGAAGGAGGAAGGGAGAAGGTGGCAAGTAAGGTGCCGACTCATGAAGACGTAGCCTGGACCAAAGGGGCCACCGGGATGCAATGTCAAGAAGACCAGGGGGCCACAGACCAAGTAAGAACTCACGTCCGGGGAGGACGGTGCACGGGACACGAGAAGGACGAGGGAAGGAGGCCGTCATAAGGCGGAAAAATGACAAAGGTGCCAGGGACCACCGGCGGGACAAAGTGTCGGCGACCACATGGGACTAAGCAAAAAATGCGGTATCGGGACAAGTACCGGCGGGACCACCGGCGGGACAAGTGCCGGCGGGACCACCGACGGGACAAGTACCGGCGCGACCGCTAGCGGGACTAATGTCGGGGACTAGTGCGGAATAAGTGGCGGGGACTTGTGACGTCCCAAGGAAAAATGGTGGTGCGACATGTGGTGCAAATAATTAAAGCAAGTTGCACCGTCAAGATCGGAGATCTTGACGACCAAAAATATTAGCACCACTAGTGCAAGCACTAATGGGAGCAAGTGAGAAGGTCAAAAGAAAAATAAAAAGCAAAGAAACAAGTGGCGGAAGGCATGGGAGCAATCCGAAAAATCTCGGATTGACCTCCCCCAACAAAATGGAGTCCGTAGGGACTCCATGAGAAAAATAGGCCTCAAATCGGAATATGGGGGCCTACCGTTTGGAAGAGAGAGAGGCGAACGGAGGTTCCCAAGGGCATGGAAGGGTCACAAGTGCGGTCCGAGAAAATAGCGGACTGGCCCTTGGGCATAGGAAGGGCCTAGAAAAGGGTCTTAACGGCCACTTGACACTTGGCATGCAAATAAAAAGAAAGAAAAGAAAAAGAAAATGTGGAAGAGTAAGACAAAAAGAGTGAGAGGGACTGAGTGAGTTGGTCGCTGCCACAAGTAGGGACTAGCACGTCCCTACTGTCCAAGAAAGGAGGAAAAAGAAAAGAAAATAAAAGAAAAGAAAAGAAAAGAAAAATGAAGAAAAGGGCCTTAACGGCTAGTTGACACTTGACATGTAAAAAAAGAAAGGAAAAAGAAAAAGAAAATGGGAAGTGAGAGAGGATGAGTGAGTTGGCCGTCAGTTGGGATTGCAGCAAGCAGGGACTGACAAGTCCCTACTGTCCACACGTAGAGGAAAAAAAAAGAAAAAGAAAAGGAAAAAAAAAGAAAAGAAAAGGGGAAAAGTCAAAAGGGCACTAACGGCAAAAAACGGTTACATAGGGAGGGCTTTTGAGACCAGATCCATTCTAGGATATGGAGGTTACAAAGGACTTTGATTTTTTTTTGTTTATGCAGAGAAAATCAAAGAAAATCAAGGCCCCTTGCAACCAAAAAATAACGGATTACCTGGGAGAGACCAAACACATGTTTTAGGTCCACTGGGAGCCAAAATGAAGACCGGATGCATTTGGAAGTTGACCGTTTCTCTTTCTTTCAACTTGGGGCTAGTTGTGGGGCATTGGGATAAAGAAAATAGCCCCTACTGCAGTCCGAGTTGTAACGGACAGCATGGGGAGGGGCAAACACAAGTTTTAGATGATGAGAGCCAAAATTTAGCCCGGGTGCCCTTGGAAAATGAACGCTTCATTTCCTTTTGGCATTAGGCCTGATGTGGGGTTGTGGGACTACTGCAGTCCGAGAAATAACGGACTCCGTGGGGATGCCTAGACCAAGGGAAAATGAGTCGCGGCACGCCCAAAATACCAGAAAACGGCACCGTAGGCATAAGGGAGTATAATGACAAAAGGGTGACGGCAAGGCGGGGGTCCCGCGGCCAGAAAAATAATCGGCATACTTGAGGCACGTGGGAACGGTGAAATGGAACTGCCAAGGACATGAGAAGTCCCAAATAAACATTGGGCACCAACCGGGATGACGTCGGGGACCAGGTGGGCCCAAATAACAAAAGTCGAAAAATGGGACGCGCTCCGGCGGCACCGCCGGCAGGGCAAAAAAAAATAAATGAGACTAGTACGGGAGAGCGACGGGGACTTAAGGTGTCCCAAGGAATAACCATAAGCCGATGTGGGGAGTGGTTGCGCGAAGCCAGCGGCGCCGTCAAGATCGGAGATCTTGATGTTGGAAAAATATTAGCACCACTAGCGTAAGCACTAGTGGGGTCCAAACGAGAGGCGTAGCGATAAAAAGAAAAAGAAAAATGGAGGTTGAGAGGGCTGCCTAGCAGTCCGAGGTATTTCGGACTAGCTAGGCATGAGAAAATGAAGCTCAAAGAGCCCCAACGTGAAAAATAGGCTGCCCATGGAAAATCGGAGCAAAGGGGCTCAAAATTGAAGAAACGGCGACAAAATGGAGCCCCTTAGGAGCATGGAAGGACCATTTTTGAAATCCGGGATGTAGCGGCCAACAGCCGGCCATGAACCTGGCCATGAATGAGGTTCTAAGGCCTAGAAGGAGAGTGCCTAGCTGTTTGACACTTGTCACAGCAAAAATAAAAGAAAAAGAAAAGAAAAACTCATGGTGACGTTCCGGACGTCCGGAGCGAGTTCCGGACGTGCGGTCCGGAGGGTTCGGAAGGTGCTTAATCCAGACAATTTTTTTTTCGAAAACGGGTCGGCCTGAACCCTTCGTTGGGTCGAGGCCGACCCTAGAAAATTGGCCCTCGTATTTTTTCGACCCGTTGGGCCTCTGCAGACACGGCCGGACGCGTGCCTCTTAGTTTTAGAATTTTTTTTTTTTTCGTTCACTGCGTGGCCTCGATTTCGGGGGAAAACGAGGGGCCGACCTGTTTGAATCGAAACCCCCCCCGCCCGCCGTTCAGCCGCTGGTACCCTGTCGAGACTCCCATTGCCCGCTGGTAAGCTGTCGAGACTCCCATCACCCGCCATCCCCCCGCCCGCCATTCAGCCGCTGCCGTCTTCGTGGCTGCTCTGCACGTGGTCGCCGTCATCGAGCCAACGTCGCCATCACACACACACACACACACACACACACAGAGAGAGAGAGAGAGAGAGAGAGGAGTCATGGAGGAGGGAGGAGTTGTGGATGACGCAGGAGACACAGAGGAGGGAGGACGACGGCGGCTTAGAGGAAGGATCTTGGAGACGAAGTAACATCAAGAAGGACAAGGCGGAGAGGAGGCCAGCCATCGCGAGGAGCACGACAAGTGACAGCAAGCCCCCGTCCCGCAGGTCAGTCTCTCTCTCTCTCTCTCTCTCTCTCTCTCTCTCTCTCTCTCTCTCTCTCTTTTCTTCACGATCTTGATGGGCTTTTTTTTTTTTTTTTTTTCCTAGAATGTCGTGTCTGTGCAGCGTGCACAAGAAAAAGAGACGTCTCCACTTTCTCGTTCRCGTCCCCTCTTTCGTCTCCCGCTTCTCCACTTTCATCTCTTTGATCTCTAAGTCTTYTGTCCCTAGTCTTTCTTTCGTCTCCCRCTTCTCTCTCCCTCCTTGCTACCCCTCGTCTCCCTCTCTCACGTTTGTGGYATCTCTCCCTGTCCCGTTTGCCTCGTCCATTTCTCTCCCTCTMTCTCGCTCTCCTCCTCCCCTCCCTCCCTCCTCCATCAACCCCTCTCCCTCTCCCGTTTGCCTCGTCCATTTCTCTCGCTCTCTCTCGCTCTCCTCCTCCCTCCCTCCCT